TAACTGAAGTTGACGCCAACAATAAACTTCCGCCTATTAACTAGCCCGTGTACAACATGTACCTACTGGAAGTACACCCCATGTACTCCATGTACCTCGCCCGAATCCTGCCTGCACGGCTCACCACCGTTGTTATGCCCACAACACGTGGTTGTGTCACACGTGGAGATGGGCAGCCTGCAACTGCAAGGGAAAACCTGTTTGGACTATGTGCGTACTGGCCTCTGACCCGTCCCTCCCCAACGGTCGCCCCAAACGGTGTCCCCCAAAGAAGGGAAAAATAAAGAAAAAGAAAAAAAAAACTCAATCCCGATTCCGAATGGGATCCAGTCCAATCCAATCCAATCCACGCCTCTGCGTTCGCGCCGCTGTCACCCCAAAGCGGGCGCGTGGCGTGGGGATATGTGTTACCCTAAGAGTATGTACAAAGCCTGCCGGGTACCACAAGCGGGGGCTTCTTCTGGCAAGCCACGCTACACGCTTCTCCCTCCCTCCTACCCCTTCTTCTGCGATTTGACCTAGCTCGCATGCGCGGGACGTTGGGGACCGCTGCATCTGCGTTTAGCTTTGGTGTGCGTGTGTGTAAGCTTCGGAGTTTTCCAGGCTTCTATGGGGAGGGGGGAGGGGCTTCCATTGACCCTGCATTTCCGAGTAGGGGCCGTACCCGTAAATCGTCATGCTGGTGGAGTAGGTACGTGCCGGTACTTTTGCTAAACCACAGCAGCGCAGACACAAGGCCGATCGTCCATGTTTCCGGTCTTGGGTCTTGGGTCCTAGGTACCTGTATACCTATTGAGCACTACCAGTATGTAGTAGATATTGTACTCTATAGAAGAAACAAACTACTACTACTACTACTACTACTACTACTACTACTACTACTACTACTACTACTTCTTCTTCTGTTTCTCCATCATCGCCCCATCGGACCGACCGTGACCGCATCCGCACACTGTCTTTAGCTCTCTGCGTCTTTTTCGCTGCAGGCACGCTGAGTCGTAGCAGATCCGGTCCTGAGTTCATCGATCAGGATGAGAGATGCACCGAAAGAAATACCGGAAAGATACTTCCGGCTCATCCAGGGCCCCGGCTCAAACCGTTCTCCACAAAAATATCTCGCAAACTGGTTGCGCGGCGATTTCTCTGCGGTGGAGCCAGAAAAAAAACAAGCCACAGAATCGCATTTATCCTCAAGTCGAGTCAAGACGGCCGCTGTTTTGTGTGTGTGCGAGCGGGGAGGTCGAGTTGAGGTGGGCACGGTACAGGACGCGTTTGAACCGCCACTGAATTACGATGACCTATTTGCGAGGCAAGACTGGCAGCGTTTCAAAACATGCAAAGCTTCGAATCTGGCTGCTGCCTGTAGGTACGGAGGAACTCATCGGCCAGATTCCATATTAAGGCCTTGCTGCATCCCACATCCCTCTCGATATCAATCTGACATATAGACCACTCTGAAACCTTCATGTCGGCGTCTCTCACCGCAAGTAAATCGGAGCCCCTACGGCATCCAACATGCAAGCTGCATAATTCTGCCAAAGTTTATCGACGAGAATAATGCAATTCGGCCATTTTGTTCTGCACGATGAATCATGGTGAATCGGACCAGGTGTCGATGATGATGGGAAGCATATCGATATGCACGGTGGATCTCCGGGGTGCACATCTACCTACCCTCCTCATGAATCGGACCCGAGACGTGTGGGCGAGCAGGCGTTGGCCAACCACTGCCAGGTGTCCATCAGCAGGAACCACTGCCAGGTGTCCATCAGCAGGAATCCAATTGTCGTCTGTGGGTGGAGTGGATGGAGTAGATAGGGTACATGGACTGAATGATGCGCAACACGTCTCCGCGGCCTGGAGCCGGAACCTGAACCAACGCACACTAGACGAAATCTGGAGCGTATGCATATCGGGCCAAGCGTCGGACGATTCCAACTGTCAAAGATGGGAACCCATTTTGTCAGATAGATTGCAGATGCAGACTGATCATCCTAGCCGATCCCACACGCCGTTGATCCATCCTACCTAGCCAAGTATGTACATGCAGTACAGTATTATAGTAGCCTCGAGATCGGCTATTTGCGTCTCGCAAGGTCAGAGAGGAAACTGGAGCGTCAGCACATGGTTTCGACGTTGGATGTCCTAGCGCAGGTGTCAGGCACATTACCCGTGGTGTGATGGCCATGTAGTAATGCACCCAACCATGAATTAGCTGGCCCAACTCAGGTACTGACGAGGTCAAGACGCGGCAAGCCCCACCCCATCACGAGCAGCGGGCTGGGGGAAAGCTCCCCGTCGAAGTTTGTCCTTTGTCTCAACAGGGTCAAACAGGCGCAAGAGCAGAGCAGTGTCATGAGACGTCGTGTTGGACTGTGGACTTGTCGGCGAGATGGCGGCTAAAGTTGGCGAGGCGAGGCTAGAGTTGCCATGAGTGAGCGGATTGACAGGAAGATCACAGGCAAGCTCTCTCCACTGAGATTTCCCGTCAGCTGCACGTTGGCCCGATAAGGAAGATGGCGGACAGGACAGGACGCGGAGGCCAGCCCATCGGTACCGTCGAAAGCGCCTATTAGTCTGGCGCCGTTGCCCGCGGATGTGTGCGTGTCTGTGTGTGGGTACAATGTGTGTGTGTGTGGGTACAGTGCAAAATGTGTGTGTGTGTGTGTGTAGGCCAATCTCGTCGGCCGTCTTGCGTCGTCGATCTTGCACCAGAAGGCTTCCATCAGGCTCCGCAATGTTCCGCTTGGGGAAAGTGTAGACGCTCAGGCACCATCGAATGCAATAGCAAGAGGGAACCCTGTCATAGTATCCCTGACTGGTTTGGGATCTGGCAGACTGGGGCTCATCGCTTGCTGTGATCTCCATCTTGTCCATCGAGCAGTTGTCTGACAGTGCTTGCATGGCCGATATCATGATATGTAGTGTACATGCCTGGATGGATCTATACATGCATAGCGGTAGAGTGCAGGATGAGAGTAGCAAGGGCCATGACTTGAGACAGACTACATCCACAGCCGTAGCTACCGACCGTTGTACCTACCTACCATTCAGACCTATTGTACACAGTACGAGTGCGGTACCTAATCGGAGCGGGTCTCCTGGAAGCCGCCAGCCAATGCATCACCTCTGCGTAAGCGATGCGTCACCCTTTGCCCGCTTCATCGGACAAAAAAGATGGCAATATCACGTTCTCCAACACGGGACGACGCGCAAAGCACACTGAGTGGCGGTTCGACAAGTAGGTTTCAGGAAATGCGAAAATGGGATTCACGCAGGCCCTAGCGGGAGTCGATGGCGATGGGGGTGGAGAGAGTGAGAGTGAGAGTAGTGTAAGAGTGAGAGGTGTGCGGCTGGGGGGGGGGGCAATCATTGCCGGGTCAGGAAACATCATCGTCCATCATCGTCCCATCTGCAACGAGATGCTGCGGGTAAACGTGGCGGGCGATAAACGTCTGGGACCAAATTGCCAGTATGGGTTTGGCATGGATGGGTGGATGGATGGATGGATGGATGGATGGATGGATGGATATGGGTGGATGTTGGATGGGCGGGGCCCAGACATGGACACAAACACA